TTCCGACCTGAGGAAGTCGGAAAATAGCCGACCCTGGAACTCCGACATGGATATCCGACCTCAAGCCGAGGTCGGAAGCGACCGTATAGAAGTCGGAAGGATACGACAACAAGTCGGCAAAAGCGGTTGGAAGTCGAGAACCGACCTCCTGGCGGAAAAATCCGACCTTCGGACGGATGGAAACATAGTTCATCCGACCTTCCGAAGTCGACCATAACCGACCACATGTCGGAAGTCGGCAACTCGATCAACACGACGGAAGAAGAACGACAACTGTCTGCAGTGGATGAATTCGACTTGAAGGAACTTGTCTAGCCCCACATGGGCATGCTATTGCAGGTTAACCCTAGTCGACCACCGACGGATAGGAAGACCGACCTCGACAGTAGGTCGGATAACAACGGCACATATTGGATGGAAGTCGACTGGACACTTCCACCGATGTAACTCACGAATTCCGACCGGACTTTCGAGCCAGTTCGACTCGGATTACTCTAAACCAGGCTCGTGGTAGCAGATTGAACGGTTGTAACCGACCACTTTTGAACGGAACTGCTGTACATGACGACCACACAGGCCGCATGACTCACTTACAGCTTTCTCCGACCTGGACTTTAGCAATTCGGAACATAGCCGAATTCCTTTAGCCGCCGGTCGACTTACCGGTAGGCCGACCTTGGTCAAACCGACCTCGGTTCTATTCCCCATTCAGAGAGGATGCCTCGGCATTTGCAACCGCAACAGTGCCTCTCTATCCCGAACGGACGGATACGAGTCGGACGTAAGTGTTTAACCGTGCTTATCCGACCTCGGTGAATTTAACCGGTTACGACGGGTAACCCGGGAACCGATGCCCCGGACCCAACTTTACCGGATGAAAGTTGACAGGAGACCCCGTGGAGACTCAACTGCCCCGTGGATGTCATCCTAGTCGGAATAGGACCCCCGGATAGATTTTTGCATTTCTTTAGCATTTCTCCTAACAAACGGAATTGTATTTTTCTAGTTCGATCTCTTTGACAGATCTGTTTTGTAACCCCTTTTGCTCACTGGAATTGTGATTAAACTTTATTTACTTTCTTTCGCGCTGTATAAAACTTTCATTACATTTTTTTTACATTGTTCTCCGCTGCCAACAGACGCAAGAAGCCAAGCCAACAGAAGCATCACCGGTCCAACGAAACGCCCGAGCGGCTTCCGGATTTCCCGGCCGTGAGTGGTTTCCACTCATGGGTTCGGAAGTGAAGAAGGGACGGTCGACCAGACACCGGACTCCCACTGCCAGAGGACGCGTACCAGCGACCCCACATTGGGTCCGACTGGAGAGTTGTGCGGTACTGGCGCGGTACCGAGTCGGAGCATCCTTCGCAGGAGCTCGGACTCCCGCCCAGAGGCATGTCAGAGGCACATGACTGCGCCTGGTGCATACGGCCCACCATGGACGTACTGCACTCATGCTTGCCATATCGCCTCTCTCGCTGTACGTACGTGTGCTGCTGCACTGCACTCATATCCGCTGAAGCGGATATACGCGGCGCACACACTGAGCATACTTGCTCTCTCGTCCCTCTCTCGCTGTATGACTCAGCGTACGCTCGCGTTGGATTGAGTCCAGTCTGCGCATGATCACACAGCTGATGGCACACAGCACGTGCTTGCCGCCAGTTGCTTCTTTCACGCCTTGACGAACGCTCAAGAGCTTTTCTAGCATTCACTTGCTTGCTTAGCCATCAGTGCTTTGTTTTGCTTTCCCTGCTATTACGCAGCATTGTTCCCTTTATTTGTCAATAAAGCACACTCGTGATCTCCTCGCGCTTGCCTGTTACAGCCCCTAATGCCTCTGGTAATACCCCTCGTCCGACTATGCCATCTATACAGCAGCACACCTCAACGTCGTCTGGAAGTCTTAACTGAAAACGCAAGGAAGCAGTTCCAGATTGATTTCCACCTATGCTATTCCAGAAACTAGCTAGTTTGCCGAAAGGATCAAAACAGGAAGAATGCACTACACTGTTATCGGAATCTCTATTTATTTATTTGAAGCTCCCATCCTTAAGATGGCAGCAAACGGCTTATGTGTATTGGTACAGTAGATAAAATATTAAGTCAATTTTTATAACAGCCTGCATGTGCATGTTTACTCGGTATCATACAGGACGCAGTTTATTCACCTGACGTGTATTTGTAAGCCATCTTAGTAACACATAATACATATAGCAGCGTGCTTCTGAAAAATAAGTTTTTGAAGAACCAGCAGGTAATAAGTCAAACAGAATAACTCGATCGGATCGTGCCACCCACACATGTTAAGTTTTGACAGCAGTTCCACGGGAATCATCAGAGGCTTGATTCATCTTTCAATGGCTGCCACCAATTCAGAGTATACGGATAGCGCCTACCATTTCATTGACTATTGTTTTTTTACTGTCTGAAGATGAATAATTGTTCTAGAGTAAACGTAAACAGACATGCTTGGCGTTTGGCAGAAGGCCACCATCGCAAACTCGAACCAAACCGAATTGCCTGTGCACTATACAACTGCTTAACCGTATTACCGACCGGATAAGGGTTTAAATCACCTCGACAGAAACCACAGTCCTAACAACAAACAAACAAACACAAGTACAAAAAAATCACCTAAAGGATTAAGTCCGCTGTTTGCTCATATATGTACACAACACGTTCTAACGTGGCTGTATGCAGAACATACTGCATTTAACTGCCCGCATTCTGTTTTCTTACTGCATTTTTCTGTTTTTCTACCAACGGTAATTCTGTGGTTGGTCTGATTAACGGTTTTCCAAGATACGAGTAGATACCATACGGATACTTAACCATGACGGCGTTTGTGGGCAGTTCTGTACTTATGTAGTTATCAGTGAGGTTCTAGTATTTCCGCTAGGAATTTCTATGCGGAACTCGCTGACGGTGTGCGCTGCAGTTTACGTCGTAAGTAAATGAACATCAGTGCGGAAGACAAGAAACACCGAGTACACAGTTCCGCATTGATGCTCATGACCGCTGCCTTGCTAGGTAGACCTTATATCATAGGTATTCCTTATTCTGCATATCCAGCTAGGATTACTTTCGCAACACTTTCATTATTTCGTTATTTGATTCAAATAATTTTCGGTTCTATCAATAGCGGGCGTCCGGTAATTACATTCCTGTAGCCTTATTGATTTTCTCCGTGACACTTTCTTATGATGTTGAGATGAAAACATGTTAGAAATCAATCATCCTGAAAAATGCTTTCACTTCACAAATCTTGTGACATCATCCAATGTCACTATCCATAATATCTCCGCCACCTCATAAAACAACTGTTTGTCAACAAAACCCAGGCATTCCTACAAGTTTCGGATGGGAAACGGCAGTTTTTCTGCAGAGCTACAGCGGCGCAGTACTCAACGTTGAAACGGCATGCTTTATTTTGGCCAACCGGCTTCTGCGCGGGTGTTGTGGTCTATTGAGCACTGCTTATTCTCTCCCCCGGTGTTATGTGTTATGTGCCTTTTGCTATCTGGTGAGCGCCCTGGCGGTTTACGGGAAAGTATTTAATGAGTGGACAATGACCCCGTTGTACTCTGGCGCCACCATTTGGATCCGATTCCAAATGAGCTGCCGTTTCAACAGCAGCTGAATCGAGACCTACACTGCCGGCAACCGCGGTCTGGTGCTCTGTCTGACCTTCAAGAACCGCGCTCTTCTCCAGCAGTCGCCGGCAAACGGTCGCGTTGGCAGTAATCTGGACTGGTTCGACGTGTCCGGCGTCGTTGGGGTCCTGCGGTGTGGGTGAACATTATCCGGTGCTGCCCGTTGGCATGCGTGGAATGCTACAGTACCAAAGGATGTTTTTGGTTCGTTGAGCAATGTCGTCGGTTATTATGTAAGTATCTCCATTTGGCGGCGGCAGCTGCCGGCTATGTTCTCGTATTAGTCGCATATATAAGAATTTTGACCGGAAATCTCAAAAACAGAAGAGTGGAAAGGATCGATAGAAACAGAAAGCGGAAACTGCAGAAAACCAATATGATTTTTGTGGCGTTACTCTTTAATCTTCTGTGCTATCTGATGTGGGCAGTACCTGATTAACGGCCCGCTGGTGCCGTTAATCAGGTACTGCCCGTTAATCAGGGCCGCACGGTACCTGATTAACGGCCCGCTGGTGCCGTGGTTTTTGGAAACGTTCAAATCGTTTGGCTGCACAACCGATCCGGTCAGAGCCGTTGTTGAAACAGAAGCGAGCGAGACTGCTTCACTTACGTCCTTTAGAAAGAAAATGCTACTGTATATGATAAATGTTAACGGTTCTAGGGTGGTTTTCTCCTTATTGGGCCGAGTATCGGGAGCAATTGCAGTATGTCTGGCGAAAAACGTGGAAATGCCTGCTGTACAGCATATCAGAACACCAATCCGCATGCAGGTGTTACCAGCTCATACTGCTACCGGTGACCGCTAATAGTTTGCAGCAGATTAACCCATCCACATCCATGCCGTCAGGATACCTGAGCGGGAGCTTTTACTGATCAGTTTCCGAAAAAAACCAATTTTCGTCCGGATAGAAATGTTATTGCTGAGAATGTGCAGGCCTTAACGTAGCTATCACGTTAATCCAAAACTAAATTCAAGGCTTTTACCAGTCTTTCTCCTGCTGTTTATAATAATGGCCTGTAATTAGCTAACCGGGCGAAACGGAAAAATTTAAAGCAAAATACATTCCGAATTCTCTAATTATTTTTGCCGGTGTGCCAAGGCTTGTGCGTATTACTCGTATTATTATTGGCGAAACAGAAACGCCCGCTCTGGATGTAATTTTAAACTACTGATGTTGGCAGCGCTTCATAGAGTTAAACTTTCATCAATCATGCGCAAGGATATGATTAGTTTAGTAATCATACACGACGCTGAATATTTAATCAATTCACTTTGCTTCTGGCAAAGACGAAAGTTCGTGTGCAACACCCGGCGTTAACTGCTTGAAAAATTAACGAGTGTGAACCTTGACCATTTATGTGACGCCGCTGCACTGATTACAGTGTCTCGTGCCATACAAAACGCCTAAGGAAAACATTGCCGACTGAGCTACACTTTCACCTGGAAGTATGCTTTTCTTTATCTTTCACAACCGGCAATTTTGGCAATTAAGCGCAACCATTAAAATAAAATTTTATTTCTTTGAGCAAATTTACAATAAAAGAAGCAGAAGGCCAATAAGTGCAGCGCTTAATCAAAGACATTATCATTATCCTGACACCGACCAGAGTCGAGTAGGCGTTCCGCTGAAGATATGCCCAATAAACTCGGCTTTTTTAATACCTCCTTGCGTTCCATTAAGGAAAACTGCGGCCCGGATAAAGTGTGATGACAGGCGCTTTTCTCCCGGAGCGGTGTGAGTTTTTTGAATTTCGTACAGTCACGTGTGCATTTTGACCGATATTGTAAAATATTTAGCAGTAATAATACACCCAAAATTAATAGCAACGCGCCGGATATGCAGACCATAGCAATCATGGCGGTTTTCAAGGAGTCCACGAAGCGGGCTTCTTCCGCCGTAAAATGCGTCGGACTGTGCAGCGCAATGCCCAGGATGACATTACGCATTTTAAGGATGCTGAGCAAAACGGTCTGGATCAGATTCACTACGATGTAGATCACGCCGAAGATCGCCAGACAGTGGCGGGTGCGCGGCAATAAATTTTCCCCGGCCACCAAGAAGGCGCTGCAGCCGGCAATGATCGACAGGATGTACGTTGCCGAGGCAAATTTTAAGTGGAAGCTGACGTCACAGTAGGGCCAGTCACATCCTGTAAAGAGTGTCGATTATGAGCCGATGACAAAAGTCGCTGAAGACGTCTTTATTTGTCATAAAATCTGCTGACAACTCTTCATGCAGTCATAAAATTCTGCTTAATGGATCAGCAGTTCTTAAACGTATCTGCAGATTTCTACAGGAAAAACAAACATTTATTGCATCCGTGTCATTATCATTTCTGTATTCCCAGCCGTACTTGCTCTGTATCCTTTATACTATAAAAATCGCACTATTTATACTGTACTATAATCATCGCACTATAAAAAAAAGTATGCCAAGTAAATGCAAAATGTACAATAAAAATCTATCGGCACCGTAAAAATACGATTTAAAGTGCAGCTGCGATTTGAGAATGCAGTATAGGGCCAAAATGAGATATAAAAAATCTATAACGTCAGGAAAATTAAATATAATAAAGGTTCAGAAGTTAACTATTTTATAGTGAAGAAAACTTAAAAATACATCTTTCTCCATTTTTTAATATCTGTATACATTTAATAAAAAATGGAGAAAGACGTATTTTAAATTAAAAATACTACTTATATTATTTTACGCGCGTACCGGCAACTGTGTCCAGATGAGTTTGATTGGCCAAAAACATGGAAACTGAAAAACAGAAAAATTGCGAAATAAGTTATTTTTATCTAGCCATAACAAGGCAGATTAACTGCGATAAATTAATAGCACTTACTGTACATCTGCATGGCGAACATGATAAATCCCAGTAGGATTTCACCAAGTCCTAAGAAGGCCATAATTCGACGACATGGTATGCTAACGGTGTGACACTCTTCCTGCTGCTTCTCTTCTCCCAGTTTCCCTTCGGACTGTCGCTCGTGCAAAACCCTCATAAAATCCAAGGATTTGTCATTTGGTTCCGGTATCCGCATGCAGGTTTTAGAAAAGGAGGTTTCCATTCCCGGTAACTGCTGTGTTGTATCCTAAATAAACTGCGTCAGCCCTTATGAATGATCATCCAAGTTGCAACAATTCTGCAAAATTTGAAAAACGGCATTGAAAATGGTAGGTGCAACATATTGGTACAAGACGGCGTGAGCAGCATTGTAGCCGCAGGCATTTCGTAACACTTGAGTCACAAGCGGACTTGGGTAGCGTTCAACAGTGACACATAATTAACTACGCGTATAATTATGAATATCTATAAAAATTAATGTCAAATCGTGCTTCATACCTGGTACAGGTGGACTGTGATCAATGCACGTAAAATTTATAGGTCAGTGCACGCAGTCGCGTATTTTAATGCAGATCTATTGATTGTATTGATTCGAACAGGTATGTACTCTGTACTTGTCTTTTGCAATAATTTCCGAAACAATTGTGAACCTATATACAGTAAAATCTGTGTACATTGAACACCTGCGGTTCCATCAAATGCGTTCAATGTAGAAGAGTGTTCAATATTTGCAGTAGCTGCCCCTGGGGGCACCACCTTGGGGGGCCCCTCGGGACAACAACGGGGCGCCCCAAATTGTACTGTACATTTAGCAGGTATAGGTTTTGCAGTGTTATATACCTAGTTAGTTCAAACTTCTCCTGTGCTTCATGGTAAGCTCAACTTTTGGCATTCTAGTGCCATTTTCGGATGTGAAAATATTATATAGAGTGACCAAGACAAATCGCTGCATAAGGGAAGGCTGCAGATTAAATAGAGATGCCCTTTTGACTTTTTGTAACTTTTCGTATCTCTTGGCCCAACGATCGGACTTTTCGTAAATTTCGTATTGGAAAGAGCGCCAAAAATGCGAAAACCATTTTTAGAATACGAAAAGTTCGTTTCATCTCGAGGTCGCACGAAAACGATACGGCAACACTAACCAGTAAGATTAAAGCCAAATTAATTTTAGTTAACAAATGGTCAAATGTGAATTTAAACCAATAATTTGTTAAAGTTTTCTTCTGGTGTCATTTTTATTTTTATGGCGGACCCAGATTTTGCACCTTTGTTCACATTGAACAGTGCAGGCCTTAACGTAGCTATTCACATTTTATTAGTACGGTTCCGAGTAAAACGTTCAATGTTCACTTTACACAGATGTTCACTTTTCGCAGTGGCCCCCCTATGTTATAGTCTACGAGGCGCGCCGGTTCTTGGCCAGGCGTTCAATGTAGAGCCCTGTTCAATGTTCACAGATGTTCAATCTCACAGATTTTGCTGTACTTATAAAGGCTACAGCCACGCTACGCATCTTCATCTTTACCTGTTTGCACATGTTAATTTCGAAGAGCTCATCCGTAGACTGTATTAGTTAGTAATGCTCGCCTACGTATAAAAAATGTAGGAATAAAAATAACAAAGAGGAATATGAATAAAAATGCTATGAAAGTGATTTTGACACGAAATCACAATTTTGATGTTCTGCCAAATTTTTGAATTTTGTTTACAATTCGTTAGACGTGATGGAAATCTTTGGTAGTGGCAAAACGTTCTTTAGATTATGAAGGCCGGGTCGCAACATGATTTCCAGCACATCCGAAAGCGTTCGAAACTTCTAAAAACAAGTATCCCAAATAGCTCACGCAGCCATATGCTCACCTTTGCGGATGTGCGCCGTATTCTTCTGCAATACGTTGTGTTTTGTTGGCTTTCCCATCGCCTTCGCCGCGTATCCGGAGCTTGGAAAGTGCCCGCTGGTGCCGCTTATATCTCCTAATAAACAAATTTTGGGATATACAACTAATCCGGTAAAATGTTTGACAATATTACCGGAATTTATGTAGCTGTTGTTTAGACGTATATAAGTGCAGATACTTTGGACTCTAAATTCTACTAATAAAAGTAGTAACGAAATACAGTTTTTTTTTTATTTGGATAATAAAGTACAGAGTAGATAGTAACAAAATTTTATTTATTTCTGTTTTCATTTGCAGCTGCTCCTTCTCGCAGTGAGCCGACAATACCGGACTGAACTGCAGCGCGTTTTTCATGTCGTCCAACGATCGAAAAGCCGCATCACGAGTAGTCGATGCAGCGAACAGTATTGATCCTACAACGAACAAGGTTATGTCGCCGTGTGTCTGATGTACGAAATCAACGTAACAATGATAAGAGTAATCCGGACTTGTCGAAAAAATTTTGTTAATAATATATTTCCAGTAACGGAAATAATCAGATAAGCTACTTGTAATGACGAGTACCTTAACTTAACTTAACAAAATCAGACAAAATGAAGTACATTTGACCTTGACTTCGAGATAAGGGCGAAAGTGCACAGTGGGCGTTTGCAAGCTCTTATATATCTTCACTGTCTTTTGCATAATCGCGGTTTGAATAACTGATCAATAACGATGGGGGCGGATACTGCATACAATCGTTTCTTCATTTCTACGCTTTTATGTCTTTCATAATGTCTTTCATTCACCTTTGTAAGAACCCTGCAAGAATCTGCACGGCAGTGAACACTTACAAATAAGTCATTTGACTCACATAATGTCGTTTTAAATAGCAAGAACGGGATTTCCTTAGTTGACATACCGCGATTATGCGACAGTACTGGGGTAGGACCAGTTGCCAGTGGGCGGCAAGCGTTCCGTAACTGGCGAAATAGCCCAGCGGAGACATCAAGCAAAGCAGAGCGTGAGCCGTTAAACAGGGGTCGGCCTACTTTACCTTTACCGCCCCTTTGCCTTTGCCTTTTCACTTTACCTTTTTCAAGTTTACCTTTACCTTTGCCTTTGCCGCCGTGAATACCTTTACCGTTTCGATTTACCGTTGAAAAGCGCCGTTCGAAAAACCTTTACCGTTAATTAACCGTAGAAAAATAAATACCGTCGACACTTCGCCGTTTTTGAAACTTCTTGCTAAAGTGTTCCAACACACCACCTTTGGGCCTTTCATAGAAATTTCAGTTCTCTTTGACTATTGCCACACCTATTGCCGCCTTCGAACACCTATTTGGCGGCTCGCACCGGGTTTTTTGATACCGTTAGACACGGCGTTACTTAGTTTGTGATCCTTCATCGTCACTCTGATCATCGGTCTGGCATACGATATATCTGGGGATGCTAACGGGAAATAGCAACGGTACTGTTTCCGCATTTCTCGCTCAACGCTCATTGCAGTCTTCTGCTCAAAACCGCTTTCATTGCGAATTTGCGACTCAATCGGCACGAAATTGTGTGTCTCCATGGCAGACCATACAGTCTGTATGTACACCCAGTTAAAAATCGCAGTGAATTCACGAGCTATGTACATCAAGTATAAGCTATGTATCAAGAGTGTAAGCTACATCAAGAGGTGGGGAGAATGGCCGAAGGTGGAGTAAAAAATATTTTTAAAATGTGGCGCGAATAGTCAGTCATTGGTGAAGACAATAGTCAAAGGTGGTGTCGGTGGGGTGAGAATAGACATTTCCCTAATGAGTGCAAACGCTGATGTTGCATGCTGTTTTCTGTTCCAGTATTTACTGTTTGCGGCACCAGGAATTGTGATAACCAAAATATGATATGATTTAAAATTGCGCAAACTTTTACGCGTACGAGTATTGATATTGTCTGTACAATGAATTTTTTTGTATGAAATAAGCATATAAGTATAAAATAAGTAACAAGTTTTAGAAACGGCGAAGTGTCGCCGGCAATTTACCGTAGTTTGCAACGGTTAATTAACGGTAAAGGTTTTTCGAACGGCGTTTTTCAACGGTAAATTGAAACGGTAAAGGTATTCACGGCGGCAAAGTCAAAGGTAAAGGTAAATTTGAAAAAGGTAAAGTGAAAAGGCAAAGGCAAATGGGCGGCAAAGGTGAAGTAGGCCGACCCTTAAACAGTGCCCAGTCAACAATCCACGGCCTTGTTGCAGCTGCTGGCTGGAAAATATCAGACCGGTCAGCAAAATGTTTAGACCGGCGCCGACGTAGCCCTCAACACTGAACACTACCAGATGTACGATTAAGGTTGATTCCGGGACCGGGAGACGCGTCACAGCCGGAATGGTGGTAGTATTACTCTGCGGCAATGTGCGATTTATGGAGACACTCGTTTTGGTTGGATTTAAAGCGGGGTAGCATTACAACGGCACGAGCGATATCCATGAGTGCTTCTCTTTTTAACTCCTGCTGGTGACCTTCGTTTTACGGTGAAGCATGAAGTAATAGGTGTAAAACTTGGAAGCAAGGGAAAAACTAACCTCCGTATAAGGTTACCGGAAATGACTTAAGTCTGGGATTTACCGAAAATAAGTCTGGGATTTACCGAGTGAATTTACCCCGGCCAAAAAGTCGTATATGGTTTCTTGTGTAACATTTTACTACGTTTTGACAGAATAGCGAGGAGCTGATATGGTCAGAATGACGTCACTCAACGGGGATTTCCGCAAATGCAGTCCGAGAGCGGCGATAATAAAGAAAAGGAGTGGAGCCCACCTGCCGTCGAAGAACGTGGGATTCAGTGCCGACGTTCAAGGGAGTCGATGCTGACCTTTACTCTTGCATTGAGCTCCAACTTTCTTTCTGTACAAAGGCGACTGTTTCGCCTTATGGTTCACCAGTGACAATCGACAACGGAATGAACGGATGCGAAGTGGGGTGAAACTGATCGTGTTACTCGGCGGGTGTGTTCGCTTTAGCCTACTGTATTGTATGTGCGCATTACTGCTCAATTTTTGCTCTGTAAAATAGCCGAAACTTTTAACGGACTTATCTACGGTGTAATTAAATGTTGAGTGACACCATAGAGAGCAGTCTTTGAGCGAGGTCATTAAGCACTTCCGAAACAAACAGATAGTCGAACAGGCATTTTGCTAAAATTTTGGCCGTATTAGATGAGCAATACTACATATTGGTGTAATACTACATACATATATTAACCTGCTCGCTACGAAGCCAACCATATAACTAAACTCTAATAATAACAGCAACACTGGACATTAATACGCCGTTGCTTCGGCGCATTATCCGTAGGACATCATTCCAGATTCACGAGATACTCGTACAACATTTGTACGGATACATACATACACTGCAGCTGCACTGATGTTGTGGCAGA